CATAGCGAGAGAGACATCTATGAACCGGGAACCCCGTCTGCTGGTATCTTGATCTTGGACCTCCCAGCATCTAGAACTGTGAGAAATAAATTTCTGTTGAATGTAAGCCACTGAGTTTAATGCATTATGGTATCATGTGAAGCAGCCTAAACAGACTAAGATACATGGCAATGGTAGAGTTACAAGAGAACAAGTGGAAATGCAGCAGACGGTTAGAGCCTGGGCGTCGGGCAGACACACTCTCACTTCAGCCTTGTTCTGTTGGCCTAATATGACAATGGTTAAGATGTAGATAAATACACTCTGCCCTGGGTGGCACTGAAGTCATATGGTCCACGGCGTGCATAGGAGGCCTGAGGGATGGGTGGTGAGAGGTGAGAAGAATCAAAGCTAATGATATACTCTATTATACATGTGGCTGGAGTTAATCTGTGGGGTGGCCATATTACTCCATGTGGCCCAGAAAATAGAATGCATCTGCCCTGAGAAGGAAGAGCAAAGCAAACACCTAGACCAGAAAGGACAAACAGAGTCCTGGTAACTTCCCTGCTCCTGGTTCCAGGTCCTTCTTTGTCTTGACTATATTTCTGCCCTTGGCTTCTGTGTAAGATCTCTGAATCCTTTAAATTAATCTGTATTCTGTGTGGATACAAAATGGAAAATGGCAAGGAGGGCAAATGGAGCTAGCTTATTTTTTCATAAGGAATCCTAGCACCAATAAGAGCTCACCTGAGTTGTAGCTGTATATGTGGCCAGGTGGGAGCTATGGTAACTGTAAGCAGATAAATAGAGGGCACTTCGCCCAAGTGCATTTCTAAAATCATGAACAGATCTGGAGCTTAAGCAGCTTTTAACTTCTTAACAAAGCAGAATCAGTTGGAAAAAGCCCTGAAAGTTGCCTCAAAAGAAGGCTTTGGAGGGTCTTCAATCATTGGTAAACTTTTCAGTCTTTGCAGAAAGCCTTTAAACTGCCCTTGGGTACCTTTTCTAGCAGGAAAGTAAGTAGAATGCAAAGCTTTATTGATCAAGTAGATAAGAGTAGAAAGCTTTATTCTAATATGTGGTATGTTACACATGGTTGATGACCTCCAAATATGTATCTCCAGTCAGTTCTGACTTCTTATTTAAGCTCCAGATTTGATATCCAGCTGCCTTTTGACATCTCTATTTGGATGTCTAATGGGCATACTGGTCTTAAAATGTCCTAAGTAAAACTCCTAACTACCCTCATTCCCCCCACGTGCTTCTCTTATAGTCTTCCCCATTACAGTACGTGGCACTTCCTTCTATCTAATTGCTTAGTCCAAACACTTAGAAGACATCCTTGTTTTCTGTTTTTCCTCCATCCAGTCCATCAGTCTACACTTCATTTTCAATGTATTTGCTGACTCTGACCATGTATCACTTTCACTCTGTCACGCTTGTCTGAGTCTTTGTCATCTCTCACCAGTCTCTCTGCATCCTCTTTTGCCCCAATAAAATCTATTCTTATATCAGCCAGGGGGATTGTTAAAAACATCATCTGTCATTTCACTCCCCTGCACAGAGCCCTATAATGGCTTTCCATCACACTTCTAATAAAAGTCATACTCCCTTGGGCTTGCTTTTTCTCATCATCCAGATTTTACTTAGTTATTACTATTCAGAGTGATCTTACCTAATCATCTTCTGCAAAACAACCAACCTGCTCCACTGACCCCAACCTCTGCCACTTTCTTTTTGTTTTTCTGCATAGCCCTTACTACTGCTTGATTGTATATTTATTATTCACTTATTTGTAGTCTCTGCCTCCTATGAGAATGTAAATTACATGAATATGAGGATTCTGATGTTGATGTTACTATATTCTCAGCTTCTAGAACAGAGCCTGGCACTTAGTAGGTGCTCAGTAAAAATGCTTGCTGAGTAAACAACTCAATCAATCCTAGGGCCCAAAAGTATTTGGGACCACAGTGTTGCATGACTCCATTGGACACCATAGTCACATATGGCAGTTCTAAAGTTTGCAAAAGACAAGACTGTAGAGTGGATATTTTACAAACAGTTTGTTTCCTAGAATTATATCTGCTCATTCCTTCTGGAAGGATGAGGGAATGGGGGCTCCAAGTGGCTAGGTGACAAAAAGCAGTGTAGGTGAGCATCTTTTCTGTTTTTTCTAATAAAAGGAATTCCTTCCTATCTTCCTTCCCAGCCTTCTGTTGTCTCTCAGACCACATTGGGTTGACTGCACATTAGAGTTTCTGGTCATTCTATGAACAGAGGATGGAAGCAAGACTTTTACATCTCTGAGAATAATTCTGTTCAGGTAACCCTAAGTATTTCATCTACCTCAGCATAGAAGAAAGGTAGAGTCTGACAGCAGTGATGGAAAGGACATCCTGAGCTGTGGCATCTGGGTAGGATGAGGAGTTTCTGGATCCCTCAGGCACCTACTGGGTTGTCCACATTCATATACAAAGGTTTATGCATGTTAGGTTAACATGTTAAAATACCAGACCTGTGGTTTGCACTCATTTTTTTACTTTAAAATGTCACAGCTTAATGAGGTCTCTAAGAGGGTTAGTCTCACTTTAATTCCTAGATCAATTGGCTTTACTCCTTTAGGCACCTTTACTGACAGAGAGGCCACCCATCACTGAGATCCAGAGGGGGCTGTCCTCCTCGAAAGCTCCTGACCACCCCAGAGATCTTCAGCCTCTCAGTCTGTTGCTCAGCAGCTCCCTGGAAGCAGTCTACTTCCCCTGCAAGCCTAGCAAAGATGAATGGTGACCTAAGGCATTTAATCCTTCTTTCCTCATCTGTTCATCTCAGTCTCCTGATGGCAGCTCCGTGTCAATTCAGCTCACTCTAGAACCTTAATTTCTCCAAATTCCTCTTTATTTCCGTCCTGCCTTTGTAATCTAGGAGTTCCCTATTTCTTGTGCTGCATTTTTAATTTAACTGAACAGAGTAGAGCGTCCTGGAGTTTTCCATATCGTCTCCTCCCTCCAGCATCTCCTATTTGAGTTCTAGGTTAAATGTCAGATCCAGATTGTCATAGAGGTTGCCTGCTAAGTAATTCTTGTTTGATTCAATATCTAAAATGCAACTGATTTAGCTAGGATGCTGACTTGGCCAGCCAAGGTGCTTTTAATTCACCTGGATTTGGGCAGGCGTTTTTATTTAAAAAATGAAGCAGAGGCAGCAGCAGGCTCTGTTTGAGAGGTCTTAAGCACATTTTTAGCCGCAGTTGTTCACTTGGAAGTCAATCCCAGTTGAAACAAGATTGTTTTACAACTACTGCATTCTTTGTTTTGTATGTTTTTCCTCCTCTGCTCTCTTTCAAAAATACCCTGGCACTCATATGCAGATGGGTATCTTCATGAGGGAATGTCTATTCTCCTTCATTTCTGAAGAGACACTAAGTTTTTATCTATCTAATATCTCAACTAAGTGTTTATCTAATGCAGTAAAGAGCATTGCCGGAAGACAGTTGAATCAGTGAACTGTCAGATACTCTGAAGCCTCACCGTGGTGTAGACTTTTGGAGGTGTGTTGCAGAATTATGTATTTACCAGAAAATTTTTTTGAAGTGAAATGATTTTTCTGTGAGAGTTAAAATGTGTGGTACAGGATCCAAGACTGAGTCTTGTCTTATACTAATTTTCAAGCTTTATGGGACTGGGTGCCTGTGGCAACCCATGAGCTCCCTTATTGGGCTCTAGGGAAGTCACTTAAATTGATGGTGGGCTGGTGTGTGTAAAAAGAGAACAATGACTCTTTTATAGGTTTCTTGGGAGACCAGAGATGAACTAGAGATTATAGTATTTTATTTTAACAGTTTGTATTTTATTGAAGAGATTTAGCACTGGCCTTTTTCAGATAAGATTTCATTTTTATGAAGCATTTTTCTATGTAATTTTACTACATTTTCCCACAGGGCTATTTACATTACTAGACATATTCTCTCATGAGGTTTTGCTATTATTCTTACTTAGATTAGCTGCCTAGCCTGTCCCAAATGCAGGAGATAATTGAGTTTTCCAATATTTTCCTCTGGATGGCAGCATTGACAAAATGAGTGTGGGGGAGGACAGAAATTAGATGACATTTTGAGGTGGCCTAATACGAATCTCTCTAAGCATCTGTCTTCTTAAAGCCAAGCAGTGCATGACCTACATACTCTCCCCCATTCCCACTCTCTTAGGCCCAGGGATGGAGTGAAGCTTGGGAAGTCTATCGTGTACATTTGTAATTCTTGTTTTAAAAAATGGTGAATGCTTATATCTTGATGAAGCTGCATCCATAGGAGTACATCAGAATGTCCCCCTTAAACTGAAACAGTTGCAAATTGGCCCTGCCCTGATATCCTGCTTTTGAAACCACTTCAGTTCAGAAAACTGCGTTTAAAAAGTATAGAATACACAAGAGAATAAAAATGGTATTACCTCTGACAATGGAAAAGCAAAGAGGTATCTGTCAATAGGGGGCAGGTGGAAGAGGAAGGGGCAGTGGAAGTCAGAGCAGGGGTGTTAATATCCTCAGTTTACAAACTGTGGAGTCGGGAGGTTGTGTTGAAAATCGATGGCAGTTTAATTGATTATTTAAAATTACAAAGATAAGCTGCAGGTGAGTTAAAGATAGTTACCTGAATATCAAAAATGAGGATACAGGTGGAAGAGAAGGTGCATGATGGTGTGAGCTGAGCCTGTACCCCATTATGGCAGAAAGTCGATAGACTCACATGGCCTAAAGTTCATCAATGAGGACATAGCAATATAAGCACATTCTTTAAAGATATTGGTATAATTAGCAAAAGAACTCAAAACAGAAATGGTTTTAAGTGGTGGTCTCTGTGGAACAGAACTAGGAATCGGAAGGGGTTGGATGAGAGACAGTTGTTTTTCATCAGGTGTTCTGGGCCTATTTAGTTATTTATACCACAAATACAAATTAATTTTAATTTTTAAATCAAGAAGTATATCAGTAGAGACCTTAAAATCTAAGCTATTTTTTTTCAGGGAGGTTGATGGCCAGCATCTCCTGCAGCCTCAGCTTTTGCCCAGTCCCTACAAAGGAAATCTGTACATGTTGCTGTGGAAACTGCATGAATGTGACAGGTAATCAGGGAGTGGGGAAAGGCCTTGGCAGTGGGGCTGTCATTTTGTCAGAGAGAGAGAGAAAAGAAGGGTGTGGGATGGTTGAGGATTACCCTCATGTTCACACCCAAGATTGTGTACATGGTCCAGGGCACCCTTTCCCTTTCTCCTCCCACCACAGTGTGCCCATGTCATCCAGTTCCCTTAGGGCCATTGGCTCTCCAAAGTTTTAGCTATAATCAGCCAAAACAGTCTGCCTGAATATGATAGTGGTGGCTAAAATATTAAGGGGAAAAAGCTAGGTTCCAAGGAAAACATCTAGGCCCCTATGGTGAGGCTCTCAGGCTTTAGACAGGCCCGGAGAGGCCTGATCATGAAGAATGTGGCCCTGTGAACTGTGCTGAAGGTCTCCTTGGCCAAGCCTGGGATGGAGGGAGTAGAACTGCCACTGAAATGAGTTGTTTTCCGGTGGCTGGTGGAGGTGGGGAGTAAGTGGGGGTGGGAGGATGGGGTGGAAGGGGTACTGTCCACATGGACTGAGAATCAGATCTTCCTCATTATCTTTCTAGACCTTGTAAGGCCTAGTATTCTTGCATGATGCAAAGAGAGGAGATGGTATTCTTGAAAATCTGTAAGTACATTGTTCCTTTTTGGCCTCACTGAGTGTGGAGGAGTGGGCTCAGATCAGAACTATTTTGAAATACTGCTTTTTGAGGATTGGGGGGCAATTCATATCTGCTATATGTGTGGCAATATCAAATCGCGTGGGTGACTGGCTTCTCTTATGTTCCCAGGTTGACCCAGGGAATCCACTTCTAGTCACTAAAAGGACAGAGGACTCATTTATGCATAATGCAAATTGGTCATGAAAAAAATCACTTTAAAAAACAGTTTAGTGGCTGCATTGATGGACAGTGACTGCATTGGGGTATGGGTGGGGACTTGATAATATGGGTAAATGTAGTAACCACATTGTTTTTTCATGTGAAATCTTCATAAGAATGTATATTAATCATACCTTAATACAAAATTTTAAAAAGCAGCACTTTAGTGGCACTCTAAGAAAGAGTTTTAAATCATGTTCATTAAAAGCAAATATTAGCTTCTAGATGTTTGTTCTTTAGTAAAGTGGTGGTGTCTGGGAAGCTAGCACAATAAAACATTTTTTTGCAGGTGGGTGGGTGGGTGGGTGAGTATGAAACTGGGAAAAATTGTTGCAAAGAGATTTAAGGCATTATCAGTAATGTATTGATGGTCTCTTCTGCTAAGGCACTGTGGCATCTGTCTGAGAACCATGGTAAACATGTAGGGGGTGAGGAGAAAGAGAGAGAGAGAATGAGAATGAAGTCTTGAAGATCTTTGCACTGAAATTACAGGACTAAAGTGACAGAGTTTACAATAAGTGTTTCAAACCCTGTGGAAGAGTTGTAATTGCTATATTGTAGGGCCAAGAAATCTAGCAAAGCAAATTCTTGCTCTTACAGACGCTAGGTCAGGATATTTTACATGCTAGTATCCATGGTTGTTTGTGGCTCAACATCAGTCCAGAGGACCTAGTGGATTATGTGCAAATTGAAAATGAGCCTTTAGCTTAGGTAATTTGTGGGAGAAGTGTCAGAATCTAGACTGGATGAAAAAAATATGCAAAATCCTTCCACTGGTCAGATACTTGTTAGATTGTATTACATCTATTTTTGGTCAAAGCACTAGTAAAGTAGAGTAGAAATTGAAAAGAGTTTGGGAAAAGGACTAAATGATCAAAAGACATAACATATAACAAGTCTTCATTAACCATAGATCCAGGTCCTTATTTCTGTTCAAAATATACCATGTAGAGGTATCTCATAGACTTTGTTTCCTGTAAGTAGACTTTGGCAATATTGTTAGCAATTAAGATAATTTTTGCTTGTGCCAATTTGGACCTTACTAAAGCCAACAAGAAAGATTTACTAAAAATTTTAAAGAAAACCACTACTTCACATCATTATTCTGCTTTTGCTTTAATATTTAATACAGTATTACAGATGAGTTTATATCTTGATGAAGCTGCATCCACAGGAGTGCATCAGAATGTTCCCGTAAACTAAAACAATCGCAGACTGACCCTGCCCTGATATCCTGCTTTTGAAACCACGTCAGTTCAGAAAACTAAACTGTGCTTGAAATCCTCTTTGCACCCTTAGCAATTTTACTTCTTTTTCTTTCCAAAAGCTAACCCATTGTCTTGGAATGTGTGCATCTTCCTGCTTAAGTGACTTCTAAGGCGTCTACTGCATTTGTCCATACAATAAAAAATTTTCCTTTGTGCATTTGTAAACTTTAAAAAAGTGGTGTTACAGCATAAATATGATATCCTACATGTTATTTAACTCAATAGCAGCTTGTTATTAGCTTTAGTGAGATGTAATTCATATGCTGTACAGTTCACCCATTGGAAGTGTAGAATTTAATGGTTTCTAGTATATTCACACATATATGCAACCATCACCATGATTCTTAGAACATAGATAATTTCATCACCTAAAAAAGAAATCTTGTACCCATTAGCAATCACCACCCTATCTGCTCACCTCTGCTGCTTCCCCACTCCTAAGCATCCACAAATATGCTTTTTATTTTTATTTTTATTTTTATTTATTTATTTATTTTTTGAGAGGGCATCTCTCATATTTATTGATCAAATGGTTGTTAACAACAATACAATTCAGTATAGGGGGGTCAATGCTCAATGTACAATCATTAATCCATCTCAAGCCTAATTCTCGTCAGTCTCCAATCTTCTGAAGCATAACGAACAAGTTCTTACATGGTGAACGAATTCTTACAGAGTGAATAAATTCTTACATGGTGAACAGTACAAGGGCATTCATCACAGAAACTTTCGGTTTTGATCATGCAATATGACCTATAAACCATCAGGTCAAATATGAATATTCATTTGATTTTTGTACTTGATTTATATGTTGATCCCACATTTCTCCTATTATTATTATTATTTTTATTTTTAATAAAATGCTGAAGTGGTAGGTAGATGCAAGATAAAGGTAGAAAACATAGTTTAGTGCTGTAAGAAGGCAAATGTAGATGATCAGATGATCAGGTGTGTGCCTATGGACTAAGTATTAATCCAGGCTAGACAAGGGCAGCAAGACATCCACGGATGCAGAAGATTTCTCTCAAAGCAGGGGGGGTGAGGTTCTGAGCCTCACCTCTGTTGATCCCCAAATTCTCACCTGATGGCCCCCCTGCGACTGTGCCTGTCTTAGGTTGTTCCTCCCTTGAGGAATCTTACCCGTCTCTGGCTAACCAGTCATCTTCCGGGGCCATACAGGGAAATGTAAAGTTGGTAAGTGAGAGAGAAGCCATATTGTTTGCAAAGGTTAGCTTTTTACTTCTTTGCAGATTTATGCCCTGTGGCTTCTATGCCCAGCACTTGTCTCGAGGTATCTTTACCACCTGGAGGAATTATGATACTCGGTAAATTCGATATGAGGCACGAATTCTATTTAAGGGTTGTAATTAGGAAGGAAGAAGAAAAGCTATAGATGTAGCATATGAAGGAAACTTGGGAGGATTGATTATTTCTTTGACATATCTTCTTGTATAGTACCTTAAGTATGTATAGGTTTTAAACTACTAACTAATTTGCACACACATATTAACATAATAGGAATACGGTGACATAAACAAAGCAAATCTATAATTACCAGCCATCTCCAGTGAAGCCAAGAAAACCATTTAGGCACCCTAGGCATTTGTGAAAATTTATCTATGATATGATGGATATTTTCCAACTGTACTTGAACCATCAGACAAATTAAAGCAGCCCATTTCTGGGATCTGTTCACATCCCATATGTTCTTTTAACCATAGATAGTCTATAGTCATGAGATTTTGGGGTGCTACAACTTGCACCCCTCCCAACTCCTGGTTGAGTTCCAACAGTACAGATCCAGTCAAATTCGTTGTCTCACTGTATGCACATGCCAGCCTAGACATCTCCCTCCTCCTTCTTATGGCAAGTCCAGGAGACGGTGGGCTGGATGCAGCCACAACCGCAGCATCGTCCGGATCCCTGTGGAGGCTTTTTGATGATCATCCCCCGGCACGAGTCCTCCAGAGAGTGCTGATGCCGGAAGCTCCTCCTCATATCGTATCTTAGTTCATTTTCTGGGTATCCAAGCTAGGCCTTGATCTTCTGCGTAGAAACAAACAGACCCTTTGCCCACACTTTGACATGCCCTCTATACCACTGTGCAGAACTCATTGGAGGTCAGCACACAGTAACTGCTTTTTTTTTTTTTTTTTAATAAGAGAAAGGAATATTATCAGAAAAGAGTACCTCCATAGCTGATCATCTGACACCCTTTAAGTGATCAACATTAAGGATATTTAAAGCATGCGTTGATCTTTGATTTACCAATAGTTTTATCCTGTTAAGGAGTAATCCCCCTTTTCTTTCTTTCTTTCTTTTTTTTTTTTAAATTTTTAATCTACACTTACCTGAAGAATACTATGTTTACTATGCTCTCCCCTATATCAGGTCCCCCCTAACAACCACATTACGGTTACTGTCCATCAGCTTAGCAAAATGTGGTAGAGTCACTACTTGTCCTCTCTGTGTTGTGCAGCCCACCCTCCCCTTTCTCCCTCCCCCCCATGCATGCTAATCTTAATACCCCCCTTCTTCTTCCCCCCCCTTATCCCTCCCTGCCCACCCATCCTCCCCAGTTCCTTTCCCTTTGGTACCTGTTAGTCCATTTTTGGGTTCTGTAATTCTGCTGCTGTTTTGTTCCTTCAGTTTTTCCTTTGTTCCTATACTCCTCAGATGAGTGAAATCATTTGGTATTTCTCTTTCTCCGCTTGGCTTATTTCACTGAGCATAATACTCTCCAGCTCCATCCATGTTGCTGCAAATGGTTGGATTTTTCCACTTCTTATGGCTGAGTAGTATTCCATTGTGTATATGTACCACATCTTCTTTATCCATTCATCTACAGATGGACATTTAGGTTGCTTCCAATTCTTGGCTATTGTAAATAGTGCTGCGATAAACATAGGAGTGCATCTGTCTTTCTCAAACTTGATTGCTGCGTTCTTAGGGTAAATTCCTAGGAGTGGAATTCCTGGGTCAAATGGTAGGTCTGTTTTGAGCATTTTGATGCACCTCCATACTGCTTTCCACAATGGTTGAACTAATTTACATTCCCACCAGCAGTGTAGGAGGGTTCCCCTTTCTCCACAGCCTCGCCAACATTTGTTGTTGTTTGTCTTTTGGATGGCAGCTATCCTTACTGGTGTGAGGTGATACCTCATTGTAGTTTTAATTTGCATTTCTCTGATAATTAGCGATGTGGAGCATCTTTTCATGTGTCTCTTGGCCATCTGTATTTCTTTTTTGGAGAACTGTCTGTTCAGTTCCTCTGCCCATTTTTTAATTGGGTTATTTGTTTTTTGTTTGTTGAGGCGTGTGAGCTCTTTATATATTCTGGACGTCAAGCCTTTATCAGATCTGTCATTTTCAAATATATTCTCCCATACTGTAGGGTTCCTTTTTGTTCTATTGATGGTGTCTTTCGCTGTACAGAAGCTTTTCAGCTTAATGTAGTCCCACTTGCTCATTTTTGCTGT